TAGTATTTAGTCTTAGTTTGTAATTAAAATGTTTGGAAATTCTAAATATTCTTTATTACTATAGAGGCAATGTGTCAAAAGCCATTTTGTTAATTGCAATCCAAAAGTATGTGCTTGCAACAATTTATACACATGTTGAAGCAGTTATTCTTATAAATTAAGGTTGGTATAAAAATTCATAATTTTTGCTTTAGTTTGCCTTTGAATAACTTCACCACGTGTTTTAAAATATTGTGGATGAGAGTTGACAAATACGCAGATATCCTTAATTGTAAACATGGCAAAGGCAACATGTTTTGCCATTTGAACAGCGGCTTGCAACTGTCATCAAACCACGCGCCGCAATTCGCTGGAATACACTTCTTCTGGACTTTAAAAGCTCTTTCTAAGACTACCGAATTGCCCCACAGTAGAAGACCGCAGCTTCTCGAGAAACAGTTTGCCTTAGTCGTCGTAGAGCGTTAACAACTCTCTTTAGCTCCATGCAAATCTGCTCGATGTGTTCTTTTTGACCCAAGAAAGTTAAATGTATCAACTTCATCTACAATATCAGCGTTGTAATTAATTGTAACCGGTATGGGATTTTAGTTATAAGAACGAAATGTATAAACTTTAGTTCTATTTATATTAATATTGAAGTCATTGATGTCCATCCAACTTGTTACGTCTGCCAGTGCTTTATTTATGTCAGTGTTAAAAGTCGCTTTGTTTTGACATTTTATTATAAGAGTTGTATCGTCAGCAAATTGTATACAATTATGATCAATAGCACGTGGAAGATCGTTAAGGATTAGTAACGGGCCCAAGACGCTACCTTGTGGAATTCCAGTGCGATCTACAAATTTGTTTTTCTAACCTATTATAGTTCTTGTTTTTTTGTAATTCTATTCATATCTGTATACTGTGTCAGATTTTTTAATAAACTACAAAGGTTTAGGTAATTAACTAAATGTAAAGAAACCGTAATGCAGTATTTTATGAGTCGTTTACCTGGTCACTTATTATAAAATCATAATGATTTTTTGAAAATTGTTCTAAACATAATACTAATAGTTTTATGTCATAGACTACATTTCGAACTACCTATTTAAAATAGTACTTATATAATACGTGAGACGCACTATAAGTTTCGGGAATTAATAAGAAAAAATACTATAAATGGTCAGAATTGAATTTATTGTTTCTCAAAATGTTCTCCGTCAGCGCTAATGCACTTTTTCATACGAATGAACCAATTTTTGGAAACATTTATGCCACTCCTCCGTGACCATTTCTGAAACATATTTTTCATACTCTTCGGCAGCCTCTTCAGGTGATGAAAATCGTTGACCGCGTAACTTTTGGAAATAAATAAAAGTTATAAGGTGTCAGGTCGGGACTGTGGCTCATAAGGTGAACGTTATTCACCTTCAAAAATTCATTTTACTGCCTGGCCGTGTGAGAACTGGCATTATCGTGGTACAAGATGATACGGTGTTTACGGTTATTTTTACGGCGTTTGTCAACAACTTCAGGCATACAAATGGTCGTGTACCAATCACTATTCACGGTACAACGATTCTCCAAAGCAACAGTAGCCACTTGTATAGTTTTATTAAAAAAAGAAGCAATCATCCGCTTAGAGGCACTTTGCACTCGCGCCACTTTGGTTGGTTTCCGCTCATCTCGAAAGACCCATGCGCTCGATTGCTGCTTTGTTTTGGGATCGTAACTATAAATCCATGTTTCGTCACCTATTACTATGTCCCACACCAAATTTGACGTCCCTTCGTTGAAACTGGTAAGCATGGCATTGCACCAAGTGACGCGATCCGTTTTTTGAGTCTCAGTCAAATTGTGTGGGATCTACCGAGAGCACAGCTTTTTCACACACAAATGTTTGTGTAGTATTGATTGTATTTGACTCATGCCTATGCCTAAAGATGCCCGAATCTCGTGGTATGTCACATGCCTATCTGTTTTGATCTTACGGCGCACAGCATCGGTGTTTTTGTTGTTCACAGCAGTGGACGGGCGAGTATCACGAAATTCGTCACTGAGATTCACACGACCGCATTTGAATTCTGCACACCAGCTATAAATAGTCGTCTTCCATGGTGCTTCATTGCCAAAAGCAGTTTGAAGCCGAGCGAAGCTCCGCTGAACTGTTAATTACACTTAAAGTCGTAGAAAATCATACTACGAAAAATTTCTCGCGTTAAATCCATGGTGATGTAGACAACCAATTTCTAGAATGACACCACAATGGAAAAACAAGTAACAATCAGATGAAACAAACTGTATTCTACAGCCAAAGAGTTCCATTTTCAAATGTTGTAATTATTTTTTAAATGTTGTTTTTTGTAAGTGGCCAGTTCCGGAAACTTATAGTGGGCCCTATGTATAAACATAATATTTAAATAAAGGTGTTTAATAACACATCTCATAACTATCCTACGATAAACAATCCAAAATCCAACTTTTAAAAAGATGACAGCCAATAAATGCGATCAAATTAAAGAATACAGCAGTAAAAACGACGTATGAAACTCACTACAAAATATTTTATTTGACCGGTTAACCAAGTGTCAGCTGAACCTTGTTTGTTTTTAGTTAATTATTTATTAATAAATTATTTAGCACTAGGGCCCGATTAACATGTTATTACATATTTTTGATTTCCATAAATTGATGTTCTTTAATTTGTTTTCTACATAAATAATGATATTCAGAATAAGAAAAACGACTTTTATTTTCTATATTTTTCTATATTTACAGGTTTTTAGACCATATTTTAGCACGAAACTTGCAACAATCCATGTTTTAAATATTACGTCATATTTCATTTAATTATAAATAATCTCAGTACAGAGTACTAAAAAAACCGACCTCAAAAGTACGTGGAATTACGTCTATTTGCTAAGTTTTATTGAAATATCCCCTAGTTCGCCACTATACAGGACTTGACACTGGACATAATAAAAATCGGTTCTCACTACTCAAAGTATATTGAGAGAAAAACGCCTTGAATTGGAGAAATAGCAAAATCAACCATTAAAGTAATTGCTCCTAAATTAAAGTTAGGCGCTATTTATAAAAATGAATCTTCATGCGTGAACAGCCACCCTTCGAGGTAGATGCTTTTCTTCAAAATGAAATGGGACCACTATGGAAGTACCCCCTTTCCAACAAACAAAGAATCATGAAAATCGGTTCACAAATACCGGAGTTATCGCGTAACATACATACAAAAAAAAAGAACATACAGACGAATTGAGAACCTCCTCCTTTTTTGAAGTCGGTTAAAAATAAAGGTGCGAGCGTGTTTGAAAAAAAAGGGTTGAAACATTTAAAAAAAATTAACAGTGTACTGTGCGGAAGATTAGAAGACAAACAAGCCGTGATCTACTGACGTGCCGACTTCGTTTCATTCAACCATCCATTACAAAGCATTGTTCCGACCAAATAGACAAAATTTTAATTTTGAAACTTTTAAATAACATGTAATTGTATATTGTAACAATGACTATAACGAAAATTAGATTGAAGTGGAATAAAATCTGTTGATTTGTTTTTATAATAAAGCGTAGTCCATTTGAAAACAGTATATATTTTAAGATTTTTTGCCCATATTAAGTGCACATATTTTGAAGTTTATACGGCATATTTATCACCATATAAATAATAAACGCGTACAACGAAATCTTGTGTAGGTCAGTATTAGAATTGTGAAGGAAAAGTAGGTGCAACTCTTGGAAACCGTGTGAAGTCCCAACTCACCTGAGAGGAGACAAGTGTCCAGCAGTGGGCCGTAAATATGGGTTGATCATGATGATTAGAATTAAAAAAATAAAAAACTAAATGAAAATTACTTTATTAGACATGGCAATACAATACAAACACAAAAAGCTAACAAACACACGTTACGAGCAGAAAACGACATAATCAAAATACCAACAGCAATATTGAATGAATAGTCCACTTCCAAAGAGCGCTATGTGACATTATTAATGATTGTTAGTTAATGGCGTGAAATGGATCAGTATTTTAAATAATTTCAAACACTTCAACAATATAGTGCCAAAACTTGGTGTATTCTGAACAAATCAGTGTCAAATGTTGACTGCTCTTGCAAAAGTCGCTATCTTTCTAGTTTTACACTTTCAAAAGTTGCCATTTTGTCGTCAACCTGCAAATGCTACTCTATTGAGTATAAACTCGTGCAAAATACGTTATTTTGTTTGGTATTTATTATTTTGTCAGGTCTCTCGTGTTCATTTATTAAAAACTTTATCGTCAAATATGTCGGAGAAGATTGGTTTACATACGAAATTCTTGTAAATACTCATATTATAGGGGAAGTGCAATCAAATCTGACGGAAGAAGAAGAAATGACAGATAATGAAGGTACATTGATGGTTGACGACGTGGCTATAAGAGTCTAAAGGAAAATTAAAATTAGATTCAAGTTATACTTTATACTATTATTACAACAAAACTTGCCATGGTAACATAGTGTTCTCGCAAAACTAGCTACGTTAATTCAGATCAATTACGAAACAAGTTATTTTAAGATTACTGTTGCAAAACTCTCTATGTTCAATTTATAAATGGAAATAAAGTAAAAAGTTTAACACCGTGATTTTATTTCTTCGTATTGTTTATCTCTTTTTATCACAATTTTCAGATAATTAAAAAAGAAAAAGTACCATTTATAATTTTTTTTTAAACGCTTTCGGAACAATAATTGTTTTTTTTTAGTTTAAAGCTTTTTTATCCACGTACATAACGCAGTTTGCTAGTGTACTACTCAATTTATACATAATATTAAAAAAAAATTACTGTAATGAAGAAAGCATGTGTATTCATACAAAAGTAAAAATAATGAACATTTATATAATGTATCATTATTTAAAAATTGCTCTTTAAGTATTCTTTAAACACATTTATAATTTCTAAAATGTTTCAGTGTTTCTAGGAAGCATTGACAACATACACAACATAAATTTTAATGTACTTACAAAAACACTCGCAATGTTATTGAGTTTCACAATGATATGGCTTTATAAACACGAATACACCACCAAAAAATTTGTATTATAAAACATTTAGTACAAAATACAGCAGGAATAGACAAAAGGTAGTAAAAAATAGGACTTATGTGATAAATCTTTGCCAAAATATAAGATTTTTTGGGTAAAAAACGCGGGCTTACAACCGCTTCCTGGAATACACTGAAAAAAGTTGTTTATCGTCGTCAGATGGAAGCGAGTATTTCGTAAAACTAGTTCAAAATAACAGTTAAGAATATCACTGTTACCATTTTTTAAATATCTTGGATAAAGCTTAAGCAGGCTTTGTAAGACATAGTATTTAGCAGTTCGCATGCCAAGTATTTTTTACGCATGGCATAAATAATAAGAAAGAAATAAATAAACAAATATTAGCTAACATCACATACGTTGCTCAGACCTCAAAGTAAGTAAATATAGCACACAAGGAAATAGGAAACAAAGACCATATTACCACAAACCCGAGACAATACAGAAAAGTTAGTTTCTACTTGGAGCCGGCCGGGGACCGACCTCAGAGATGGCGACACCATGAAAATCGGTATGCAAACCGCTCGACCACGGAGGTCGTCGTGCACAATTTATTGACTGTAAATTTACGTACAATTAGAGGATTAACGGTTTCTTTTCATATCGCTATACATATATGTACGAAATGGAAAAACTTATCAAGGTAGGCATAGACAACAGCCTTCCACTTCCTACCATCATCACAAACATCACTCGCGTCATCAACTCGCAACATCACTATAATTTAAAATTAAACAAAAACTGAATATGTAACCAAAAAATTTTCCCTGGTGCTCCTTACCGATGACTTATTATTTATTAACAATATTCTCGTCTTCGTAATTTACCTATTATTTCCATCATTCTCTTCGATATTAATACTTGTTATCAAGAGTAACTGTTACAAATACTATCTCTATAAAGTACCTTCCGCCATCTTTCTTTAAAACATCGTAGATGCGCGCGCATTTTGTTTGTAATCCACTTAGATTCGATTCCCAGTCTGCCCCTGACTTCACTTGTAAGAATAAACCTTAAAGCTATATGGTTTTACGGTTGTTTTTCTTATATTTCTTAAGAATGATTTGACTGTGAAATTTTGATACAGAAAAATATGCTTTCGGCGGTAGTCATTTGAGGTTAGAATCATATGACGTCTATAAAATCTCAACCAATTTGATTTTAATTGGTAGTTCCTTATTCTATGGTTTAAGGATTTTTATATAGGTCATTGATGATTTCAGTGTTATATAGTTAACCTATATACGTACTACAGCTGGGTACGTGTCTCTTCTATAGTTCTATAGTGGCAAGAAAGATTATTAGAGACATTGTCTTATAGCGATTACCAGTAAAAATAAATGGCAGGACTATAAAAACTTTCACCATTGAGTCTAGACATCATTACGTACAAATTCCTCCTTCTTGCCGTAAACTCTGACTCTAAAAGTATATCCCATACCCCATTCACTTCTCAATACGATTTCTGCATTTCTTTCACCAACACCACCTTTTTGAACGAAACTCTGTCCTATTCCTTCCAAAAGTTCAACCAATATGGCGGCTATAACTTCGTCTTTTTCTACAATTTCAATTTGCACAGTATCTTCTCTTTTTATCAACTTTTGTGCAGCTTTTAAATGCATATTATCGTAAATTAATTCTGCATTTTCAATTGAGCCTAAATATAATACTCTTGGATTTTGTCTTTTTTCTTCTTCATTACACGTTAGAAGAAATACGGCGACTCCCGCCAAAATCGCTGTCAAAATGACAGCTGTCGTCATGTTTGTTCTTAAAATTACATTTTTCTTTTTTGAAAAAAAAAACGTGTGTTCTAGGCAGTGCGTCGGATCTTATGATAAAATAGAAAATTAGTTTTCTCATGCTCGATCGGCTGTTAGTATGTCGTTTAATTTCATTTTATGACCGTGACTTTTGATAAATATAAGATTTTTTATGACGATTTTGTTCCTAAAGTACTTGTTTTTTTTCCATATATGTAATATAGTCTATTAATAAAAATAAAAGATTACATGACGAATTTTAACTGAATGTTGAACGGATCCAATTTAAAAAAGTTCATTTCCAAAAATTAGACAGGGAATCAATCCTATTTGTACTATTACTAAATTATTTGTACGTGAAATCTACATATTGTTTAAACGCGATCGATCATTTGTAAAGCAGATTCCCTTGAAAAGAAATATTCATTTTATTTAATAGATACGAAGTTCTGTGTTGCATTGGTATTTCCAAAGTTCGCGCTACGCAGCCCGTCGTCGCTTCACCGCTGTCGGTCTTTCAAAGAAATATTCACTTTATTTTGTAGACGTGAAGTTCTATATTGTATTGCTATCTCCAAAGTTTCTCAGCTGTCTGTTCTAAGAAATATAACATAATGTTGAGAATCTAAGTTACACTTTTCATAGCCCGTGGCGGCAAAGCAACCGACGACAGGATGCGCCGCGTCTCTTCTTTTTCATTTTATGTTTAAAGAAATGTAACCTCACCTTCTCAAACACAGGTTTCCAAACTTTTTGTCACTCTGAGACATAAGTAGATAAGGCCCATGTGCCTGTAATTTCACCAGCACCCTTTTCCTTCAAAACCGGAAAGCAGTAATGCTCACATTGGCTGCACTGCTTATAAAGATCTAAAGATTTCATGGTTACGTAAATAAAACAACACCCTGAAACGGTTTTACATTTCAACATAGTTTACATCGATTTTCAAACAATATTATTAAGTCTATACTACAATTATACACGGCATAGTTTGACGCTTTTTTTTAAAGTATAACCCCTAAAACTTAATTTCCACCCAGCCTGAAAATCATGTTTTAGGGACCTTCGGTTTGTTTGTTTATAATTACAATCCGTCCGAAATATCTGTGGACGCGTTAAAATTTTATACACTGAAACTTTTTAATATTTAAAAAGAAAGTCCAAATATATTTTGTGAATGACGTTTTGGTAATTGCTATTGTAACAAGGCGACGAGGGGTGACACTAGACGAAACGGAGGGGCGATAAAGTCCACAGATGTTTCTATAAATAGGTTATATTGGTTTTAGAATTTACAACATCAGGTTATGTGAAAACAATACTCAAATGAAACTGGTGATAGCTTATGTCGGTCATTCTCATTTTTATTATTTAAATAATAAAAATTGCCACGAAAATTAGGTAACTAGTCTGAGTAAAAAAAAATTTGTTCGTAGAAATAAACTTTGTTATATAGATAATGGGGTGGTAGGCAGGGGGAAACATTTCCGATCGTATTTCATCAGATTAAACTTGATGACAAACGACTTTTGTGTCATTATTTTTTCTCAGAACTGCTTGTTAGCACGAATGGCTTTTAAAATTAAATTCATAGATTCATTGTCTGTTTGTTTAGCCTAAATAATATCTATTTATTTATTTATTGAGGAATGCCAAACAATTGTACATGGTGAGTTATACAGAATAAGAATATCGGTTTAGCTAATAGTACAATCAACCACATCATCCACAGATTACTACAAAAATATAAAATTTTGAATTGAAGCATAATCGCTAGTGTAATTTTTTAAAAGTACAATGCTGACAAAGAAAATAATTCTAAAAGTACAATGCCGACAAAGAAAATAAGTTTAAAAAACAAACAAACTCAATAACGTTACTAAGTACAAATAAAAAAAAACAGTTTCACAATCCACTACAGTGTCATTCCCAATGCTTCAGTAACTGCCCTCTTAAATTTGTATTTAGACAGATCAAAAATATGATTACCATAATCGAAATTAGTAGCCAGAGTAAAATATTTTCTAAAATATCGTGTCTTTGCGGACGAAATAATGCTACATCTGAAAATACAACTTTTCAGGAGAGGTTGTACAAACAAAATTAGTTAGTTCAGTCAACACGAAATTCAGATCCTCTTATTATGTGTCCGTCGTCACAAGTTCGCCATTTTGATATAATAACCGTATGATTTATTTTTTTGCAAAATGGCGTCAACTATTATTGCCTTAAAAACTTGGACTTTACACTTTTCTTTATGAGATCTTTTTGAAAATGGCGGGTTTATAAAAAAAAACTAAAACATTAATTTTTACTTTATGAATTATTACATTTTGAGTTTATTAATTAATTCTTACATGTTTAAACTGATGGCTCTATAGGCAATGATCTATCGATTAAATAATAAGTTTTCTTTATTAAAGTAAATAAATACATAAGTTCTGATTCTGATACGTCAAGAATTAAATTATCGAGATGAGGTTGATTCTAGGTTAGGCAATATTGCCAACGACAATATATTACAGTTCAAGCTATCACCAGATTTAAAGCTAAATATTACTTATAGGTAAACTTTTAAATACATCTTTTGCATTAAATAAAAAATGGACGACGACGTTGTTAAAGTTTCTTTAAAATTAAACATAAAATTCATCGACACTAGAACGTTAATAATTGACTAGATTTTAGAAGACGGATTTGTTTCTGAATTGACTAGAATGAGATTGGCTTGCAGAATTAAAAAAAACGTATTTGAAAAGGATTTTGGTACAAATACTATTGTAATTTCTACACTTAACATAACATTTGAAAATTAGTGAAGTATTTTTACGCCCAAAGTCAAGGAAGTACAACACAATTTCCTAGAACTGCAAAATTCGTCTAATATTTAATTTGAAATCTATTTACCTGTTCACAAAAATACTTATACAATGGCAATTAATTATTAAAATTCCAAAATGAACGGACCCAGCATTTCAAAAATAGAATCGAAAAGAAAAAGAATGTTTATTGTTTTTGCAAATTCGTTTCCAGTCAGTCACCGCGGCGTGTTTTTTGTTATTTTACTTGGACAATTAATTTATTTATTGCCAAGTTTATTGAATAGGGGTCCCTCATTCATGCCCTGGTCGAAAAATGGCGTCTCTCGGAATATCACTGAAGCGTCAGCTATGTGCATTTGCCTTTTGCCGTATCTGGAAAAAAAAACATTAATTCTATGAAAAAATGTCAACGTAAGTAATGGCAAATATTTATGGTATCAATTTACGGGACAAACAAGACGTGCGCCTGGTGGTAAGCGACACGCCTGCCTATGTGACGATGCTACTTCTTTAATCATCATCCCACTTTTTTTATCACCCTTTTCTCTGGTTCCTTGCCACATAGTTTGAGATTTTGAATCGTTCTTAAATTCCTTTTTTTATTCGTCAATTAGTTTTCTTCTTTCCATCGCCTCTCACGACCAAACAGACAGAGCAGACGTGCTATCCCAATACCATGCAGTAATACCCCGCTTTACGCGAGAGACGCGTTCCAGACAAAATCGCGTAAAACGAGTTTGTTCTTTTTTTTTTGTGAAGCCTGACTGGTGTTATAGATTTTCGGTCGCGCTAGATCTGTAACTTGACCTAACGACTGCTACTAGGGGGTAACCTATCACAGACTCGATTTTTTTCCGAAATAACGTTTGTTCGAATTTTCGTTACACCGAAAATCGAATTGTAACGAAACCGTTGTTCTTTCAGAATAATGTTGGATGTTTATCGCAAAGACACGATTAGGTTCGGTTAGGTTAGGTTAAGTTGCTCTCCCCATCCGCGAGAGATTGAACGATGGAGAGAGGAGGCCAACGAGGAAGTCCTCCGGAAGTGGACCGAGCGACTGGGAGTCCCGGGGGTTAGCAGGGAACTGGTGGCTGCAATTCGACCCATCCTTAAAGATTGGGTCGAGTGTAAACACAGGGTGCCGACATACCACCTGACGCAGCTCCTTACCGGGCACGGATGCTTCGGCAAGTTCCTGTGCGAAGTTCTAAGTAGGGAGCCGTCAGCGGCATGCCACCATTGTGGAGGAGCCGCGGACACCGCGTATCATACGCGCGAAGAGTGCCCAGCTTGGGCGGAGCCTCGCGCCACGATACGTTGTCCGCGATAGTAGGGGCAGACCTATCGCTACCAGCCTTGGCGAAAGCCATGGCGGAAAGCAAAGAGGTATGGAAGGCGGTGAGTGCCTTCAGTGGTGCCGTCATGGCGCTGAAGGAAGCGGCGGAGAGGGAGCGGGAAGACGATGTCAACTCGCTTCCAATTCGCCGCAGGCGACGGGGCCGTAGGCGACTAACTCAACTTAGCCGCATGCCGCCCTAAGGGGGACCAGCGGGTAACGGATCGGGGGGTCTGTTACCCGCAACGAAGTGTCCCGTGCTGGACGGTGCCCCTGGTGTTCCGGGGCACCCAAAGCGGAGAAAGGAGTAGGTTCGCCGACTCCGAGGGTCCGCAAGGGCGCATCGCAATCGCAAACGGGGTTGCGGAAGTAGGCAACAGCGTTTCCCGCGACCACGTGTCTGCGCCGTGAGGAGCACCCCAGGGGTTTTAGTCGGTGAGAGTCCGACATAACCACTTGGTCCCCCCAGGCCAAGTGGTATCCATAATGGATTTCCCCAGGGTAAAAAAAAAAAAAAAAAAAGGTTAGGTTAAGTTAGGTTTAAAAGAAAAAACATTTTCCTCTCAAAATTACTTTCGAGGTTATGAAAGTTCGAGAAATCGTTATTTCTGAAAAATGTCATTTCGGGATACTGGTAGGTAACCCTACCAGGGATAGAGCGGAGTATGATCGAATAACAAGCTAAACATTATAATGAACGTGCTTTATTTATGTTTCTTAAAAAACAAATTGTGAAATAGTTGGCTAAAGTTTTTTGGTTTCTAAATCGTCCAAATTCTGTAGCTTTGCCTTCGTTATCCATCTTTATAAAACTTTTATCTTGGTCTCCAAACTCAAGCTCTTACGTTCTTTTATCTCAACTGGTGGCGTCATTGTTCGTAAAAAGTACCAATGTGATCACAAATTAAGGGAGCTACCAAGAAAGAACTAGGTGTTTATTTAATTTTCGAGTCAACTGACAATGCGCTTTCAATAACTGAGAAGCTACGGGTTCTTATTGGCTAATTCAATCACTCCACTAATTAGCTCATCAACAAAGAAGAAGCGGGATCGCGCTAACCGGGTATCACTGCAATGGTTTCTTATATACGTTTAACGATGTAACGTGTTTACACATACATCACACATATTTTTGTGGAAAAGTTCATAATGTCGAAGCTGAGATACGTAAAGAAATGACAAACATCCACAAGGACATTAACAGGACTCTTCAGGCTACATTACAATCTACGCCATGCTTGAGCGGTGGCGGTGCCGACACCCGTAATAGTTGCAGAGCTCTTTAAATAGCAAAGATGACGTTGACAAATCAATTGTGCCGATAGTCTCACCAATACATTATCTGCTTGGCGGCAAAAGTAGAACAACTTAAAAAGTCAGATAACACATTAATTTACTTATTTAGGGGGGTGGGGTCAATACGACAAGAAAAAGATATAATATTATTATAATAATCATATCTTAGTAGCAGTAGAGCAGGGAAGTACAAGCGAAGCAGTTATGTGAGCGTTACTGCGTTGCAGTTTTGAAGGGCGCTGGTGAAATTACAGACACCTCGGGACTTGTCAACTTAGTCTCAGGGTAACGGGCGGAGTGGCAGTGCCCATAAGATCTTTGCGATATAAAGCTCTGAGTGGCACTGCAACTGTTATGGATCGGCGTGTCGGTTACCACTCGGCGCACGACTTGTTTCTCCCGTCATTTGGTATTAAAATATATATATATATATATATATATATCCGAAGTTTACCGCTAGATGGCATAGGCATAGAAAACGCAATTTCTGAATCGCGGTGTTAAGATTTTCCCTAAAGTAATGACCTGTCACCAGTATTTTGTGTGAGATTGATCTATTCTACGATTGCATTCGTACGATTATCGTCACTCATCGAGTATATAACCAGAAATAGAGACGAAATAAAGGCCATATATTCCTGGTAACACATTAGCGATACAGCTCTTATAAATATCAACTCCCGTTTGCACTGAAATATAGACAGGCCTACTACTGATCTGTGCGTACGTTTTCGTATATTCCAAAATATATATATAGGTATATATAATATCTCGTACAATGCCGTGCTGTTATATTCAGTGGTGTGAGTAAAACAGCAAAACACCTAATTACAAAACAAACGGAATCACATTTCATCGGTAATTAAATATTAAATATGTAATTTTACAATTTTCGTCCATTATAACAAAGCTCAAGTTAACTGGTCGATTTGAAGTGAAACAATTGACGACACCCGTCAATTGTTTCGAACTCGGGCTAGCCAATCGGAGCGCAGTAGTCACAGTAATGATATGGCAGAATAGTTTTCAAACAAATTAAATGACATTTCGTCTCTATTTCTGGTTATATACTCGATGTCCTCACTACTAAGCGGAATCCATCCAACGGGACGAATCCATTTTATTATTGGACACCCTTGTATTATAAGCCAATTGTAAGCTGTTACACAAGAAACCAAGCCTTCTTCACCAAATTTCGTCGTTTGATTCCTGGACGTAGTAAGGGGGCACCAGTTAGCCGAGCGAATCTCTACCACCCTGTACATCCCCTCCTACTACAATATTGTAAAATATATACTTGTAAGTATCATTAATGTACATAACATTTCAAAATGAATAATTAGAATCACAACACAGACAATGTAAATAAATCAAGTTATGTAAGTAAACAACCTTTTCGGCCATCTTTGCAAGTCCATTTATCGTTACTGCTTTCACTTTGGCAACTTATCTGTCTGGACCGTTTGTATTTAGTATTGTACTTCATAAATAATTTAATTTAAGTGCAGGCAAGAGGACGCTGAGCATAAAATATAAATTAGATTCTATGACCCTTGTAATAAGAACTGTCTTAAATATGAAGTGCCTACACTTCACTGTGACTCTTGAGTTCTCTTGCTCTTGAATATCATAAAGAACGTTTAATAAAATAAGTATATACAGCAACTTCACAAATATATTCTCCACAATGTACATACAGTGACATCTAGCGAGTACCGTTAGAATATGTTATCATACATTGTCTGACTTTACAGTGAATAAAAGAACACGTTGGCGAAGGAAAAATAAAAGTTCTCTGTAATATCACTAGATGGCGTTGGGAAAATAAAACGATAGCCCCTGATTGGGCGCCATTATTATCTTAACGCTTATTTTACTGTATAATTTAGAACGCAAAATTGCCATCATGTTCCCGGTCACAATTAGACAATTAGTAACATAGGCAATGGTTTATAGAGGTTTCTTATGTATTATTCTAGTTTTACTTTCGACCGCCAAATGGAGTATTAATCTTATTACTTATTATTTGATTTGGTGGACAATAAATGTGTTAACATCGAAAATGGTTATAAAATATTCAACACCACTGAAAAAGTATAAAGGTTGTTCTCTTTGGCGAATGTTTTTTTTAATAATATATTGTATATTTTTTATTGGAATTACATCTATTTGCCAAGTTTTATTGCAATTGGTTATCGGAAAGCGCGCGAAACCGGATTCACCCCTAGTTTGCTACTCTTAGACATGGAATATTTTTTTCAAAAAGACAGTAGAATTGAGAACTTCGTCTTTTTTGGAAGTGGGTTAAAAGTAGAATAGAAGAAATATAACATGACATATTATACCTACAGCGTTTACAAGTTCACTCTGTCTTCATGGATTTAGGGTTTCTGGGTGCGTTATACAAATAAAAATGCTCCAGGCGTGTTTTGTAGCATTAACATGTGCTCTTTGAGTTTGTTTTTGAAAGTGAAAAGTATGTTGTTTCAAATTTTGCAATACAGAGTAAAAACCTGTAGGAAAAGTGGACGTATTTAAAAAAGGATCCAATGCACATCCAGTCACTTTCGAGATATGGCAGTTTGAAGTTGAAAAGTGTTTCTAAATCTTGTCTTATTTTCAAAACTTATAACGTCATGTAACTCCAGAGATCGACTCATCCGAAGAACAGAGTCCGATGTGATTATATAGCGAAAAGAAAATAAGTAAGTTACGAGAATAATTTCCTTATTCAAACCAAAGCCTACGTAAAGGTGTTTTAAGAATTTATATATCTTATTTCATTTTGGAAATGTAAAATCGAGGAACAGTCGATCTGACAACCACAGCGAAGAAGAACGAACGAAATGTACTATGTCCTGAGAACAAGTAGTCTTGCACATAGACCTTTGTTCTACGGACGAGTCGATATATTTATTTAGGTTTATATGTTGGATTTTTTTGCTGATCTAAGAGGTTAGACTTTAGCAACCGTTTGGTACATACTCGTATACCGCATTTTTTGATAATTGCTTAACTACGTCCAAGTAAAAGTTCTCTGTAATATCGCTAGATGGCGTTGGGGAAATAAAACAACATCACCTGATTATATTATATCCCAATATTATCTTAACACTCACTTTACTCTATAATTTAGAACGCAAAATTGTCATCATATTCCCTGTCATAATTACAATGGGCAAATACACATTGGCAATGATTTATAGTGATCTTAGTGCTCTTTTAGTCATGTGAGACGTTCGTGGAGGTTCTTTCTAAATCGTTCTAAACGTTCTTTTGCTTATAGTCACTCCAAATACTGGCGTGGCTAAATGAGAATACCCTCGCGACGACATGTTTAACATTTTGCTTAAGAAACGGTTATACGTGACTTCGAGGGGATATACGAAAACAACAACAAAGAGATTATATTGTGTGATCCTCACACAATATAATATATAATTGATATATAATTATTAATACAAAGATCGAACACTCAGAAAAAATTCCTTCGATCCGGTCGGATTCGTACCGACGTCTTCTTGCATACCGTGCCAACTAAGCCACGGAACGAACCAACGGGCCTCACGAATTTTTCTATGTGCTTGCGTCGTGTCTTTGTACTTGGTCTTTCAACGACTTTTTAGTCCCGGACTTAGAATAATAACGCATAGAAACCTAGTCCGCACACGCTAAGTGAGGCAAATTGAAGCGCGCCCAAAGGGCCTACACGAGCGGGCGGGCCTTCAGTGCTCAAGGTCAACTTGCACCGCGAACAGATCAAGAATTTTAGCTAAAAATGACGAAACGTGCGGTAAATGAGTGTAAAAATACGTCAGATAAACATAAAATAGATACTAACATCACATTCCACAAGGAAGTAACGCGTTTCAACTTGTATTTTTATATAAATATTCACTAAAACCGAAAATTAACCTACTACTAAAACTAACCTACATGAATTTGATTTTTGCCTCACTTGTGACAGATCGTTTGATATGAAACTATCATTCTATGCATTATTATTCTAAGCTCCCGGACATATAATTCGAGCCACCTTGCATTTTCATCCTTAAAGGCCACACATACATGAAAATGTAGTTATCGTCGAAGAAAAAGTTTACTCCGGTTTTTTTTAATTTCTTAAGAAAATTGCTTAAGATATGTGAGGGTTATGCCGGGGCCCATGGGCTCAGATATAACGCAAAAAAAAGTGAACTCCTGATGTTCCAGTCTCGGGGTCACAAGATCACTTCAGTACCACCCGTCTATTTGAACGGTGTTGCGTTAAATAGAGTTACGCGATTTAAATATCTTGGCCACTGGGTGTCGGAGGATCTCACGGATAATGAGGACATAGAGAGAGAGCGACGGGCGTTGGCTGTTAGAAGCAATATGTTGGCGCGCAGATTCGCACGTTGCACAGTACCCGTGAAGGTGACACTTTTCAAGGCATTTTGCCAATGCTTCTATACGTGTAATCTGTGGGTCAACTTTACGCAGAAGACAATCAACGCCCTGCGCGTTCAGTACAACAACGCGTTCAGGGTTTTATTGGGTTCGCCACGGTACTGCAGCGCATCAGGCATGTTCGCGGATGCCCACACGGATGGTTTCCATGCTATCCTTAGAAAGAGAGCTGCCTCATTAATAAGTCGTATCCGTTGCGGCACGAATGAGATTCTGCGCGTTGTGGCTGGTAGAGTGGATTGCCCGATCATGCTACATTGCATGAAACTGCATTTAAAACCATGTCGATGAGTTATTTGATATTTAATTTAATTTGTTTAATTATTCTATGTTTTTAAGTTGCCTTTTGTTTATTTTGTTTATTTTAATGTGTGTAAACTTATTGAATTATCTAAGCTAATATTATAACTGTAAAATATGGACTGTAGTTGTCTGAATAAATGATTTTTGATTTGATTTGATTTAATTCATATTTTCAGTAAGGACTTAAGAATATGGCGTTTAGTATACCAGTTTCAAAATTGCATAACAGTTCCTGGTCAGTCAAGCATTGTTTAAGCTAAGAGCATTTAATATTGAAATTGTTCATTCCATTACTTATATATGTATTTATATATATAATCGTGCGCCTAATGGTAGGCGATACGTCCATAACAGGTGCAGTGCCACTTAGAGTTAAAGCTCACAAAGTTCTAAGGGGCACTGCCACTGCGCCCGACGCCCTGAGACATAAGTTGACAAGTCTCATGTGCCTATAATTTCATTTCATCAGCACCCTTATCCTTCGAAATAGGAACGCAGTAACGTTCACTTATCTGCTTGGCTTGTACTTCCCTTACTTAGCCTAAGCTCCTAAGATCTACTGCTACAAAATCTACAACCTGTGTTGCTACGTTTGTGTGATGTTACAATACTTGTCATAATATTACACTATGATATTACCTGACGGTAAATGGCAATGTGGTTCAGCATAGTCGCTTGCCAAGAAACATGTTGGGTTAATGCTGTAATCAAATATATTTATATTACATGTACATTCTTACCTTCCCCGCCCATGTACAGAGTAGTACTCCTGTAACTCCTTCAAATAGTTGGAGATTTGTTCAGCCGTATCAAAGCGCTCCGGGCGACGTGGACGCGGGTACTGCGCTTGCGCGTCGCACCATAAGATGGCAGACAACAGCAAGATGGCGGATATAAGGAGACGCATTGTGTCTGTGAATTAACGAAGGTTTCTTTGTTTAATCAAATGTTTTATTTGCCTTCTTGTTTAGTTAATTGTAACATAAAATATTATTATTATTAATCTTAGTGAAGTCTCAATGGCCAATGAATCATTTATTCCATAGGTAAAATCAATTCATTCACTTGAAAACGTCACTTTTAAGCTGCTGCTCGTTCACTACGATGACTTCCCAGAGGAGAACGAGCAAGACACTCTAGGGATTGCTCTTTTTAAATAAACGTAATTCGTAATTAAATTATTAAAATTTTTACGGGTATATAAAATAGTTGAGTAAATGTATTATGAATGGCCAGTATTTTCAACAAAATTAAAGAACTTTGGACCTTGTTTCTTTGCAAATTCATTAATTCAATTACATATTGAAGTGAACGATACCAAAAACATCCTGTATGCGAGTATTTCTGCTACGATAACCCATAAAGATAGTGGTAACGTGGGTAAAAGATGAGAATTTAATTGCTTAATCGATATGACGGGTTTATTTGTTCCTTATCTTTTATCAATATCCTTTTGATAATTTTCTATTCTGGGATATTGGCATAATCGTAATGGATAATTAGTATGCGTTAGAAATCAATATGAACAAAGCTGTTGTAGTTTAGGAAATAGGTTGAACGCAACACGACATTGGACCGTGTCCCAACTCCGAACACATACTTGACATTATCCAAGCAAACTAATGGTTCAAATTTTGGTTAAAGCGAAATTGATGAAGGTTGCTTTAACATTAAAATGAAGTTACTAAACTGGAATATACAAAATAACTACAAAATACATCATTATTTCGATATAATGTTACATTAAGAAAAATTGGGCTAGAGAATACAAACACTACATAAACCACTTAAAACTAATGCGGGTAAAGGCGGTCTCATCGCTAGAAGCGATCTCTTCCAGACAACCTTTTGAGATAGAGGAAAGCTCATCAGAACGGGAGACGTAGTGTGCCGAGCGGCTAGGGAGTGGAATTCCGTGCCTGCAGACTTGTTCCCCGAACGCTATAACTTGGACCTTTACAAGGCGAGAGTGAATAGGCATTATTTAGGTGTGCATGCTACGTCCTCGACCCCATCGTCACTGTCCATCAGGTGAGATGGAGGTCAAATGCGCACTTATTTTTTATATAAATAAAAAATGTTTAAAGTATATATAAATAAAAAGTGAGATTATATTATTAGCAAATAATAAATAACGATTTATTTATGTTTACAGTATATATTTGTACCATCGAGTACCGAGTACAAATCCAGAAATAGAGACGAAATGTCATTTAATTTGTTTGAAAACTATCCTGCCATATCATTACTGTCACAGCTGGGCTCCGATTGGCCAGCCCGAATTCGAAACAATTGACGGGTGTCGTCAATTGTTTCACTTCAACCAGTTGACTTGAGCTTTGCTATAATGGACGAAAATTGCAAAATTACATGTTTAATATATAATTACCGATGAAATTTGATTCCGTTTGTTTTGTAATTAGATGTTTTGTTGTTCTTCCCTACACCACCGAATGAAACAGCACGCCATATGTTTTTGGAATGTCCGGAGACGTACACACAGGTCAGTTGTTGGCGCTGTCTGTATTTCAGTGCAAACGAGAATTGATGTATCACTGATGAGTGACCAGGAATGTGTGGCCCTTATTTCGTCTCTATTTCTGGTTATATACTCAATGACTTGTACAGACGCCAGCACAACAAATTACACATTAACGGATCTTGTTCCGTTGCACTGAATATATACAATACGTTTTACAAAACATATTCAATTTGCCAAAAAGAAACATTTAAGGTTTTGTAGTACTACAAACACTTTTTAGATCTCTATTTTTTAGTAATTTCAAATGTGTAAGCGCCCTCCACGACGACCCCCACTTTCTTTTGTTATCGCACAAAGTTATCACTGTTTAGAGCCGTAATATTTAAATATTTTTATACTAAAGTAAAATCTCGCACCCCTCATGGAAGAATGGCATAAGTGGAGTTACGTCAAAAATGTTTTTTTTGCTCCATTGGATTGGATTGGAGAGGATGTGGGTTATATTTCTCTGTATCTAATGGAGCAATAAACACTTATACTTCTTACATGAGGGGTGCGATCTGATGAGTATTAATAGTCACGGAACAAAAGTTTTGTTAATATTTTACATTTTAACTTTAATAATCCGGTATAAATAAATAATTGTCTGTAATTTCGCCGGCATCCTTGCCCTTCAATACCAGAACGCAGTAACGTGAACTATGCTGCTTGCCGGCAGAAATGGGTATTAATAATAATTATACTTTATTTCGGACCAAAAACAATTATCCATAGTTTGTTAGTAAAAAACTTAGGAATAAGGTTAATATGATGCAATTCAAATATTAAAATTATAAAATTAAAATTCAAAAACTGTACAATCACGGAAAAATTTACATTACATATAAATTTGTAATTGTTTAAATATAAAATTGAAATTAATCTAACAACCTCACATGAAGTTTCATCCAGTGAGCCTGTCTGGGGCAGTTTTTAATGTATTGTACTCATAAATAAACAGCAATTTTCTTAGGTTTACGTTTTAACTTTTTTAAAGCGTATTAGCTTTTGAAGTAATGTTTAAAGCGGTTCCAGAAAGTTAATTTAACGGGTTTGAGGATTCATGAAGATTTTATCTAAGCACAAAAAAATAGCCTTTTAAGTTTAAAGCCTATTAATTAAACATAATGTTATACTGTGTTGCAAATAAAATGTAAGGTTCAACTCGCGAAAAACATGTCGCGACGCGTCATGTTTTTCGCCTATAGCATATTCATCTCTATGTTCCCGTCATTAAGGTACTAATTTGTACCTACAAATTTATCTTATGTAAATAGGGTTAAAGTCGAGTGGTTTCGCGCGAAATATTCCACCTCTAAAGGTGGCAGATTAGAGGATGAATTCGGTATCGCGTAATTTCCGGTTACCGATTTTCAATAAAACTTGGCAATTAGATGTATTAAGTATAACAAATGTATTGTATTACGCCATATTTATTATTTTAACTCCTATTTGGTTTCATGTGTTAACAGTCATATTTGTCGGTGTTTGCATACTTGTCTGTACAGGGTCACTTAAGATTTCAATCCAACTCTATGCCGCTTAAGAAGAAAGGTCCAAAGTACAAAGTGTCAAGCGTGATGTGCTCTTGACTGTAAGTCAAATATTTTCCCAAGTACATCAAACACCCAATATCGAATACACACAACCACGTGAAGTGCCACCATTACAGTTTATGGCATTGCAGGCATTTAAATATTAATTACAAAGTATACAAGCATATTTATTGTTAAAGTCATATTACAATATAAAATATATTTTTTTTTAAATTGAATAATACAATTTAAAAAAAAAACATAGAATTATGATTTATTAAAAAGAAGAAAAAAGGGTCGCAGGTTTCGAAATTTAAACGCCAAAAACTCATTTTATAAAAACAATTTGTCACAAGCAATTTTCAAATAATACTTTCTTGTATCTAAATATAGGTAACATATTCATATCGTCATGTATATAATGTTATGCACATGTTGTAGAAATTCCTTTCGAAACATTTAGTTGTGTATATATCGCACTGCTATTACAATAGTGTTGTAACTCAAAATATGTGAAATTTAATATTATATCATTACTGAACGTAAAATTTGATTCTCTACACGCCAAAAAAACCGTCGTTAGAATATTGTACGAAACAATCAAAAGATATCCACTTAACTCAATATGAGACACACTTTATGGGAGCTACTCGTAGTTCTGGCCAAAATAATCCTTATTCAAAAACATGAAATCATTTTTTCCATTTTATTTATAAATATATTTAAGAAATTGTTTAAGTGTCTATAATAAACTATAACATATAAATTTTAATGATTTTTTTTGTGGGTAGTGAGCAATTCGTTTTTCATCGATTCTGAGAAAGTCCTCTTTTTGAATTAATACACTATTGTATTAACAGTGCAATATGTCGGGCTTAACGATAGGGATATCGGGTTAAAAATGGAACGTTTTTTTGGAGTAAATAAGTATCTTTGTTGTAATTTTCAAGTTTTTATTGAATGTCTGGTTTTCCCCCATGATATTCAATTATTTTTGAAAATTACTCCACTAGTTTGTTATAATTATTAATACAAAGATACACTTCCATCCGACTGCAGACCTATTATCTATGTTTTTTGACAAAAATACACATCTCGAATATATACAAGGATGAAGAATATATAATATTAATATATAAGAACGCCTGAAACTATTAATTATTTATTTACCTATTACTCTTAGAATAATAACGCATAGAATACTTTCATATCAAACGAACTGTCACAAGTGAGGCAAAAATCAAATTCATGTAGGCTAGTTTTAGTAGTAGGTTAATTTTCGGTTTTAGTGAATATTTATATAAAAATACAAGTTGAAACGCGTTACTTCCTTGTGGAATGTGATGTTAGTATCTATTTTATGTTTGTCTGATGTATTTTTACACTCATTTACAGCACATTTCGTCATTTTTAGCTAAAATTCTTGAGCTGTTCGCGGTGCAAGTTGACCTTGAGCACTGACGGCCCGCCCGCTCGTGTAGGCCCATTAGGAGCGCTTCAATTTGCTTTACACTTAGCGTGTGCGGACTAAGTTTCTATGCGTTATTATTCTAAGCTATTACTACGATATGGCTGAAAAATATAATCTTAGGTCTACTGTATTATACGGTGACGTCAATATGATTTTATTGTACTCTTCTCTGATCCCACGTATAGTTAAGTCTGCGTCATAATGATGAGTAGGATAAACGTGATTTGAATTTACACTTTTAGACGTCGAGACAGCAAGATTGGTTTACTTCAGCTACTTTCACAGTTTAATGACATACGGCATTTTGTTTTGGGATGATGCCGCCGAAATTAATAAAATCTTTGTAATGCAGAAACATGCGGTTAGTAGAGTTAGTAGAGTATCT